CACCCACCCCACCACCCACCCCCCCCCCGCCACCACCCACCCCCCAGCCCCCACCCCACACCCCACACCCACACCCTATCATATTTCTACTTATAATGAACTCTCTCTCTAAGATGAAATTTACTTTTATTCGACTCATATGACTAAACTTAAATATAACACTAATTTTATATAATGCTTCTAGCCTTTATTATAATTTAAATGTTTCGATCAACTTGAATTATCATCTATTCATCATATATAAATAGTCTTTGTTTCTACATAATATTAAAATTATGATTATCATATTTCTACTCATATTAAACTGTCTCTAGCATGAAATTTACTTTTATTCGACTCATAGGACTAAACCTAAATATAACATCAATTTGATTGTACATGAATAAATAATGTCTTTATCTAATATTAGAATTCATGACTTGATTGTTTAAGATGCTCTCACACTTAATTTGACAATAAAACACAGTCATGTCATTCTACTTAATCGGAATTTATATCTTCTAATTTATGTTAAACTGTTATAAAAAGACGATTGCTTATGGTTCTACGTGTACCTTCCTTCAACTCATGTTCATCAAATAGTCATATAATGACATTTCAATTATTTCTATTGTTTGTCCTTTGTTTTTTCTGTTCTGTTCACGTTTGTCTGATCAAAAAAAGAAGAATTGTTTTTGTTAGTGATGTGAGAGATGCTCCACCCTAAGACCAAGGTCGACACTCTCCACATTAACTTGAGCAATTACTCTTTCGAGATCAAACAACAAAAAAGTTAATCTTTCACTTTGTTCCTGATGATGTGCACCAGACAAGGCACGAAAGCCCGAATGCAAATATTTTTCAGATGAAAAATTTAAAAACATAAAATGATTTTTACAGCAGTTATCTCTTTCTTTTTCTCTTGTTTATTTCCTACTGCTATCTCTTCTTGATCTGAGGAACGAAGTGCTTGTAAAATATCCAATTGTAATTGAGGTTGATCTAAAGATTCAATAAGAAAGAAGCCACAGATAGAAAATCCTTTAAACAGAGAATAGAATACTGCAAAAAAAACAGATAATTATGTCCATGTAACAAAATTAGGATGTTTTCCTCGAAGAAAATGTTTTTAAATTAATTGCATACAACTTGCTCGATCGATCACTTTTTATCGTCTAATCTAATATTTCCTTTTATGATTGTATGTGTGTCAATCGCATTTAGATATTTGGCGACAAATTGAATAGTTGTACTGTTACAATCGAGTTCATCCCAGTTCAATTCATTAGGATAAACAAGCGTAAGATATTGACGTAATAGCAGACGTTGGCTCATTTTAATATAAGGAGATGAAGCAAGTTCAATATATATTAAAGTTTCTGCTGGTATATGTACAGCCGATTGACCAAAACGGAAAGTGCGAAAAAGCGTGAGACAATATAATAATTCATTGAGATCATATCCATTCTCAACATGTTCAATATCAAAATGTAGAATTGATCTTGATAATGATTCATCGTTTAAAATCTGAAGTCGATGAGCTATATCATCTGGTTTCATGTCACCACCAGTCAGAAATTTGATTAGTTGTTTACTCAATCGATGACTTTCTTTTTCAATGAATCGTGATTTACTTAAACCCGATAAACGAGATGTGACTATTGTAGTTTCATGAAGCATATTCTGGACTTGAGAAGTCAATTCATCATTAGTTAAAAGTTTCTGATCATGTAATATGTTGACATTAATTCGAGTTCTAATTGCATTAATTAATTATATATGAGAGGCAGCTCTTGTTGTAATTATGGCGAATCGAAATGGGCATGTTGAATATTCTTCGATTAAGTTATTAAGCAATGGAAGAACTTTATCTTGAATTATCAATGAAAGTTGATCAGGTCGAATAAGTAATTGATATTTTTTCGACAAGAAACATCGATAAATGAATGCATGAATTTCCATTCAAGTAGTTCGCTTGGTACAATAGAATAGTTGATGAGCATGAATCGGTTTCTTTACCATATCAAATAAGGCAAAAGCTGCTCGTAAAATTCCATCATCGATCGTTTCAACAAGTCGTATCTAAACACCAAACATATAATTCCTCCTTTTTCATAAAGCTGAAATTTAGCGAAGAAAGGTTTTTACTGGAAAATCTATAATGATATAATGATCTCATATAAACACCGCCGACGAGGAAAAACTCTCAATTGATAACTTGTTTTGAAGTCAAGACTTATTTCTTTTGATTCAAGAAGAAATGAGAACATCTTCATGATTTAACTATAGTAAAGTGCCACACTCATACTACGTTAATATTCTTCTGCTTGGAAAACAAAATTCAGATGTGATGCTACACTCACAGTAGGTGATGAGCAACAAAAAGTACTTACAGTATGAACAATAGAATCTTTTTTCATTTCTTCAAGATCATCAACTGCAGATCTTTGTGTTATTAAGATTTTGTTCAGATTTTCTAAACGTTCATTTTCATTATCATATTTTGGTGGCATTTTGACTTGTTGAAGTAAAGTTGGTTCAAATCCAATATACTTGAGTAGATGATATCCTGCCTGCTTTTCCTCAATTTCGATCTTGTAAATGACACTTTCTACTATTTGAAATTGTTCATATGAAAAATCAGTTAATTCAGGATAGATTTCATACATTCGACATAAATGTTGTTTCCATTGTTCTAGTTTTCTTTCAGGAGTTATCATAGTTACCTGCATGACATGTAACATTCTGATCATTAATAATTTCTGTGACGGCTGGAAAACCTACGATGTGAAGAGATACAAATTTTTTTAATACACCTTCTATAAAGCTGACTAATTCGACGAATGCTTCTAATTTTTGAATTTCTAGATTATGATCTTGATGTTTCTTCTGTGAATTTGAATATCCTATTAATCGAGCTCGATCACGCAATTCAATTAAATCGTCAAAAGTAAGATTTTTGATTTTATTTGTGTATCAAATAAACGTTCTGAATTTTGATTTTTGACAAAATATAATAATGAATATGACATAATATCGATGATATATCGTCGTTTTGATTGTTCTTTGTTAGTTAGTTCAAGATAGAGATGTTTAATACTCGAAACTGATTGCGAACATGTTTCAAATAATCCAATAACGTTCTTAAAGTCGTCATCATCAAAAATATAGTCAAGACATTTTGAAATATCTTGAAAAAAGAGATCCGTTTTATGTGAACGAAATGCTTCAATCGATGTATAAACACATGCAAAAAAATGTTTTGAGTTTAACAAAATCAAGAACAGACTTAGTACTAATAAGTGTTTCATTCCAATCGTTTGCGGCTTCAAGAAGATGATCAACATCAGTTGTAGTAAGATTATCCAACAATTGAATGAGTTCTGTTGATTTATTAAATTCTGCACATAGATTAAGTATATTTGTTGAATAAATATTTTCGATAGTTTCAACATAATGTTGATATCTATTGTAACATTCGCTACTGATAGTTTTATCATTGATTTCGATCAAATCAGAAAAAATTTTCCTGCTATCGGGACTTGAAGGAATATGAAATCGTTCAAGTAATATTTTAAAACCCTAATACACATCTTATAGATAATTCCAATTTTTCCAGAATGTAAATATAAAACATAAACGAGGTATAACATTAGCATGAAGAAATTCCTTGAGAATTTTCGTATCAGATTAAAGTGATCCAGCATCAGGAAAGATAAGAAGCAACTGCTTTATAGGTAATTCTTTTCATTTACTACAAAGTGTGTCCAATTGATCAACGAAATCATCGACCAAACTACTGGCATTTTTAAATATTTCTGCACAAGAGTTGTGGATATTGATTCTTTGTTTAACTGGTAAATCCTCTTCCATAGTAGTTGTTGCTGGATTAGGTTTGTTTTGAGACATATGTTTCTGTATCTTTCTTTGATCATTTCTACGCTCTAGAACAAAAATCATTTCATGATACTCAAGTCGACTCAAGTTCTTAAAAAATCGTTTTTTATTTGTAAATCAGAGAAAAATTACTTGTGCAAGTAATTACTTGCATTTATGCAGGTTGCGAGCCGTGCATGTGTCTCTGTG